ACATAACATTTATGGGTTTAAGCACTAAAATAGATTTTAACTGTCACATGTAAAGTAAAAGGAGTCTCATAACTACAAGAAGAAAAATAGAGGCAAATATGCATATACATGAAATAGAATATTGCCCTCTTAGAACAACGAAGTATGTCATTAAATGTTTTAATGACCGTGAGTCATTAAAATATACACGAGGATAAAGGTAATTGCTACTGTATTCCCTGTTAAAAAAAAAAAAAAAAAAAAACATGCAAGATGCAATTGCTTGAAAAGTAGACTACAGATGAAATTTCTGGTAAATCCTCAATGGCCTTTGATGATAGTTTCACAACAGAAATGAGAGAATTATGCAGAAATTCTCTTCTTTTCCCCCTCATTCTAAACTTCAGAGTCGATTAAGAGGCTGAGCATATTTACAATTAGCTGTGCAGAGATAAATGTTTAAATCTCAAGAAATTTCTTACAGTAAAATGAAAATCTGTTTGTCATACTGTCATATGTGAGTTTATATGTTCCACAAGTTTTGATTTAGAGTGGGAATTTTCAGTTTACAGCTTAACTGGTAGATGCAAACCAGTTGTATTCATTGTTTAAAATATAAATGTTTTTCTGTTGTCATCAGCTGCAGGAGTTAAATGGTTTTGATAGAGAAAGTCCAGGGGCTCTGCAAAGCAACTGTGCTCTGTTCTCTCTGGACATGGGATGACTCAGTTTCTCCATGGTGATTCATCTAGGTAATTCAGCTCTGGGTTGTCATGTCCAGAAGAGGCTCTTATCCAACTGTATTCAGAAAGAGATGGGAATGGATGACTGAGGAATCGAAATGATCATTTTCCCCCTATAGATCTGCTGCTTTGCATTGGTTTTACATGGCCTAATTTTTGGCAGCCAGGGGTGGCTTCTGTGAGAAGGTATTAGATGCTTCCACTGTGTCCTGCAGAGCCAATCCCTGGTGGCTCTGAACACAGACATGCTGCTGGCCAAGGCTGGGCCAATTAGAGATGTTGGTAATGCCTCTGTGATAACTTATTTAGGGAAAAAATGTTTAAAAAAGTGTGCATGCGCAGATTTGTCCTAGCCAGAGAAGAGGAGGAGGTGAGAACTTGTGAGGGAAACAACATGGAGACACCAAGGCCAGTGGAGAAGGGGGGCAGGAGGTGCTCCAAGCACCAGAGCTGAGATTCCTCTGCAGGCTGTGGTAAAGACCCTGGTGAAGCAGCCGTGCCCCTGCAGCCCATGGGGGTCCATAGGGGGTGTAGAGATCCACCTGCACCCCATGGGAGACGTGCTCACACTGGAGTGGGTGGATGCCCTGGAGGAGGCTGTGATCCAGTGGGAGAGCCGGTGGAGAGAGGGGGCCCTGCATCCAGGCTGGAGCAGCCTGTCCTTGGAGGACTGCAAACCGTGGAAGAGCGGCCTACACAGCAGCAGTTTTGGGGGGACTGTCTGCCTTGGGAAGAAGTCAAGTTGCAGCAGTTTTGGCAGGACTGCTGCTCATGAGATTTGGAGCCATGCTGGAGAAGTTCACAGAGAACTGTCTCCCATGAGAAGGGACCCCATGGTGTAGCAGGGGAAGGACTCCTCTCCCTGAGTAGTGGAGGAAAACCTCAGGTGACAAACTGACCAAAACCCTCAGCCCTGTCTCCCTGTGCTGTCGGTGGGAAGGAGGGAGGAGTTGGGAGAAAAAGATGTTTAAAAGGGCTTATTTTACTTCTCATTTTCCTTGTCTGATAGCAATAAATTAACTTTGTACCTTTAAGCTCAGCCTATTTTGTCCTTGGAGTGTTTTCTCCTAGTCCTTAACACATGAAGCACTCATGAAATTTTTCTCTCTTCTGCACAGCTGTTGCAAGGGAGGGTGAGTGAGTGGCTTTTGTGGGTGCCTGTATCAAACCACGACATGCATGTATCCTTACAAATAGCCTTCTTCTGAGTTTGGTACAGGCACATTATCTAATCTACTAGTCAGGCAAAGATTTCAGCTTTTCAATTTTCTGTTTCCTGGATAATGAGCACTATGCTCTTTCCTTTATCCTTTCAGTGGGCTAAACTGGGAGTCCCTATTTATTATCTTTGAGGAGTAGTAATAAAAAGATCATTCTTTTCTTAAGGTTAGTTGACCTCTCAAGGGTTGCATGCTCAGTAATGCAGGCAAACAAGATAGACAGACCATGTTCACAGCTTTCAGCTTACCAGGATCTCCAGGGCACACATAGCACCAGCTGCAACAAAGAACATGTAAGAGACAAAGAACTGAAGTGATAGTGCTCCTCAGAATGAACTGACAGCAGGAGGGGTGGCCAGGGAACAGACAAATCATTGATAAGTGAGATTGCAAGAAACAAAGTAAAGCTTGGACCTCCTCTCAAACTTCCTCTGCCATGGCCTTGTTAGGTCAGTGACAATCACAGAGATAAATAATACTGGAGGAAACTGAAAAAGATGGTACAGCTTCTAACAGGGTTGGTTGTTCTTGCAAGCTTCCTGAATGGCCCACAGCAACAGTTTGGTGAGCTTCAGCACAGAGATACATCCACCAGATTAACTTTTTATGCTTTAACATCTAGAGTTTGACTTTTCTTTATCTAAAGCCCCTAGAGTTGCAGAATGAACTTGAAAGCAGGACTGAATGTAAACCAAGAAGAGATGGCTGCTTGAGTTCACAGAAGACAGCAGTTCTGCATGGCATAAATCAGTATGAGTGATAATTCAGATGTACATTGTAATGCTTCATATCTTTGCATTGCTATTAAATTGTAGATCAAAGCATGGAAAAAACTTTGAAAAATTAAGCTATTTCTATGCTTTTTATTGGTGAACATGGCAGAAACAGTGCTTTTACAGCATTTTCCCTGCTGCATTTGAAGAATTGAGCATAACAAAATTTCTTGAAAGCACAGTAAGCATGTGTGACTAGTTCAGTAAATAAAGTCTCTCTCATTTGGTGTGTCAGTGCAACTGTCATGACAATTGTAGTAGTTCCCTTTGCAGTCACCCCTCCCTACCCAATTCTCTCTCTGGTCCCAACTCACATTTGCATTTAGGATTTAGCATCATGCAGTTCCTGCAGAGTCCTTTACTGTTTATTACTGCCTCTATGTACATCAAAGGATGAGGAAATAAAAAAGAAAGTAATGCTAATATCCTCCTTAGATCTAAGCAAGATTTTCAGCTTAAAATCACCATTACAGAAAATTCTTGGTAAAGGACAGAAATACTTGAGATATCATTTTTCTTAAAAAGATTTTTTTTCTTCTTTCCCCTCTTTTTTGTCTCAGAATTTTGAACTAGAAAAATATCACAAATTCAGTTTCTTCATGGAGATGCTCCATTTGCTCTTACACTGAAGAAACTCCTCAGAGATGCACCATATTTCTACACAGTCACTAGCCATGAAACAGCTGGGGTACGGACAAAAAGGATAAGCAACGACATCGAATAATCAAAAGGTCAAGTCAAGAAGACTTGGAAAAGTGGAAAGGGAAGAAAAGGGAAAATATAACATCTCTGTAGGCTTTCAAAACTTCTATTAAATCCCACCATCTTCCTGACCTTGGGAAATTTGAGGAAAGAACTACCCATCTCAGAGATACAGATTCTTTCACTTCCCAGTATTCTCTTTGGTGAAGAGGAAAGCTCAATAACTTTTGAAACCTCCCTCTCTTCGACACTGAGAGGAAAATAAAGACAAAGTGACAATAAGATGCAGTAGAGTTAATAAGCATTCTAGCAGTCAGGATGCAGGCTTTGTGTTTACATGGAAAGGAGGGAAGTGCATTTGGTAGAATAGGACTGATTCAGAGCAGAAACTGCAAACGCTGACATGAGCCAAATTTTAGATTGTGTAAAATGTGTGGGAGTAGCTCTCACTCTCCAATTCTTTTCTACAGGAGCTCTAAATAACAGCTCACAAAGACGGCAGATATGTCAGTTCATACTTACTTAACAAGACTATTTTCTTGGTGGTATTACCACAGTCCATGGGAGGTATTAATTTGTGCTAGAAATGTGTACTGTATATTAAATTGCAACTCATCATCTCAGAGCCAAAAAGTCTGTCCAACAAAGCAACAAGTAATTGGGGTTAGAATTTAGGATTGCACTGGGACTAGGTTATAAACTCCTTGGAGCACCTTTGGTTTCCTGTGTTGTGTTTATAACACTAGCAGTAATTGAGGCATTGCTGCCTAGTTATGCTTCATCAGCACTGCCACCACAGACCTCAGCACCCATGGGGAACTTCACAACATATGTGCAGTCTGAAACAATAATCTACTCACTCTTATAAAACCAGCATTATTATGTAGCACTGATGAAAGTAATCCACAAAATGAAACCATATAAATACTTCTCTTGCTTTGTAACAAGGAGACCACAGAGCTTAATTTAGTTGAGGTTGGGTTCTATTCTTAATTACTGGTGAAAATGTACTGACACTCTGATCTCAAGCGGTTTAAGCATGATGATGTTACATATGACAACAATTGCCCTTTTATCTTCAGCCCGTATTTTAGCGCTCTGCATGGACAAATGCAACTGTCACCTCTGTTTGAAAACTGCACAACAAAATTTTGTACCCAAGAAAAAACAGACTCCTATCTGTTCCCTGCAACACCTTCAAAACCAGCAAGTTAAATATATTGCGTTCTTAAGACACAATTAAAGAAAGTGAAAAAGTAACTGACCTCTTGCCGTTTGAAATTTTGAACGTATTCTTCAAACTGCTCATCTTTAGTTTCATCTGCTTTTCCTAATTTTTGAAGAACCTGGAATGAAGGAAATCAGGAATAATTTAATATTTATGACACAAATCAAAACATCTGCTACTTTCAACATTCTGTTCTTGCAGTTAGACATAAATAGCATTTTACTTTTGGGAATGTTTTGTGCTCTACTATTTCTGGGAATGTTTTGTGCTCTACTATTTCCAAAATTCACACAAGAAACTATTCTGTAAAAAAAAAAAGAAAAAAAAAAAAGATGAGAGCAGGAGTATGGGGTGTGTGTGTTTGTGTGTAAATATACTTCCGAGTATGGAGTCCTTGGGGGAATGGTTCTTGTTTTTTCAAAGCAAGAAAGAATGAGAGAATTCTGCTGGCACTACAAATTGTCCTCCAGTTCAGAGAAAGAAAGAAGAAAACCTCATCAGTTTTTTTCTTCTCATTACATCGAACAGTATTAACATTATTTTTATCTGCATGATTTTCAACATAAAGTCATAAAAATTAAAGAACTGTAAGGCTGATGCCTATTTAAAACATAGCGTTCATTTTGCTCCCCTCATTAATTCATGAGTAGATTGTCATCCACTAGATAATAAGCATGCTACAATAATTCAGCAATAAGGGCTATTCAATCAGCAATCTCAAAAGCAATTTGATGCCTTGCACTGCATTTAACAACAATAAATGCATTCTATTATTAAATCCCATTGCTATCCATTCATTATAATACTGAAGACTTAAACATAGCTGCAAAAAGGCTTCACCCTACTTATAAAGCAATCCCCGAATCTTTACAGAGTACTTGCTTGTAGGAGTGAACCATCCCACATTGATTGACTGCTCTCCCATTACAAATTGACAAAACAATCTATTTGCACAGTTAATAACAAAACCGAAACAAAACCCAGAAGTCCCATAAAATTGAAACAGTAGCAACTAGCAGATGCTATGAATACACATATAAACATTATAATGTATTCTTCTCAAAACAAAGAATGTACAGCTCCAGTACTACCATATTCTTTCTCAGACTTCTTTCTTCTTCTCCAAAGTCCAGCCAGCCTCACAGCACAAAATCAGGCTGCACAAAGGAGTGATGAGCATTGCTACTGTGGAAACCAGAGGTCAAGATAATAATGAAGGTGATGCAATGCCACCTGTGGAAATGGCATATGAAATAAGTTTTGTCATAATTACTGCAGAAAGACTGAAAGAATGATATCAGAGAAGAAAAAAAGATATAGACTAGCCTTTTGCTGCCAATAGCTATGTTCATTTTTAGTTGCTTGTAAGAAAGTTAACAAGTCAAAAAAACCTCATACACTCTTATCACCAACCTCTTCAAAAATATTAATAAGTATAACAGAAAATTATAAAGAGAAATAATTTAATATTTTGAATCATCACAGGCCTTCACATTGCTCCTTGTCACCAATGAGCCAAACAGGCTGCCCACAACCGTGGCACAGCTCTGATCCACACCAGGAGGCTTTCTGAAAATCCAACACATTTTTTTCAAAGAGGTGGTGGCCAGGCAATGAATGCATTGCCTCCTGACCATGGCAATGCATTCAAACCACATTTGGAGCAAGAAGCATGTTAACTGTAGCATGAGCATACATAACATAGATCACAAACTACAGCATCAAAAGTTGTCATGATGGACTCTTTTTTTCATATCAATGGCACACATCCACATTTCCAAATGTGCACTCAGGCCCAATAGTGCAAGGCTCAGAAGGGAACAACCTCCCACAGCACTTACATCCTGTGGTTTGGGATTTTTTTATCCTGTCTCCAACTTTCCATTTATATACAGATATTTAGCTGAACCAAGATGCAGTCATACAATTTAGCGTCTACAAACACCAACACTAATCCTAATACTGATAATTTATAACACAGTTTCTCAATTTTCCCAGTCCAAATCAGAACAATATATACGTCATATGGTTGGATCTACAAGTTCCAAGCCAGAGACTAAAGAAACTTACCCTCATGGAAGTCCTGCAGCTCATGCCATGTACACAGACAACTGGGGTTGACTTATTCTTTTGCTAAAAGCAATCCTAATCCCATCCCCACAATTCCATATAGAGACAGTGGAGCACACTGGGGCTAAAGTAAACTATTCCTCACAGGTTCTTTTAGATCCCACCCATATAACTCCATGGACTAATGAATGTGTAGCTTAGCCTTTTAGACCTAACCTACTCACAAGTTTACCACTGGTAGTTAAACAGAAAAGTGGCCAGGTTGACAGTTGTAGAAAATGACCTACCTTTCAGCTCTTGTTTGTGCACTTCTGTCTCAAAGTGGAAGTTGCTTGTCAATAGAAGTCTATAGTTTATATTTTATTTTTGCTCAGTTAGGTCAGCACCTATAGGGTGTTTTTGGGTAGGGCTAAAGCTGGATGAAGGCTTGTCTGCCTTTTGAAAAAAAGAAAGCAGAGGAATCAAAGATCTTGAACATGTGGTGGCCTGAAGGGCTTGAGTGAATCTAAAACTTAGTGAAGGCAAGTGGCTAGCATTTTTTTTCTTAGTACACCCATACAGAGAAATAAAATTTGAGGTTGAGAACATCTTATCAATGTGTATGAACAGTCTGTATCATTTACAATACAATAAAATTTAAAAATTAAAGAAATGGATACAAACTGAATCTCAGTAAATGTTTTATATTCAAGTTTTTGTCATCTTCTGAAAACTGCATGAAATAGTTGATGAATATGTTCACCCTAATAAAATAAAACAGGATAAAAGCTACCTCATTTCATATAATTAAACTATCTCAGCTACCACTAAGCTTTCTCTTAAAATGACAGAAAAAGATTTTTTTAAACGTATCTGAGTATCAGTGTTCATCCAGCATGTTGCTAAGAATATATGAACTAAATAGTTAAGTCCAATTAGCATTGAGAATGAAGTAAAAGCTAAATTTAATACAATGGTAAATTTAGATATGGTCAAGTAAAAATATGTAGAGAGGAATTGCCAGGAAATGTGGTACTGACATATCATAGGGCAGATTCTACACCAAGACGCAAAATTTGAGTAAGAACATCAATCATGTCAGATGTAATTTAGAAATTTCATCCAGAGTACTTCCATTTGGGGTTGTTGCATCTGCAAAAGACCTTTCAGATGATGTAAGATTATTAATATGCCTTTAATCTTAAGTGCCTTTATTTACCATATAAAACATTCAGTTTTATGAGGATCTTGAATTCAACTGAGCAGTTTTAGAATAATTGCAATGTGAAGGTTGTTAAGTGCATGCAACCTACTGAAGAAACTAATATAGTGAAATAAACTACAGATTAGCTTGAGAAAGCTTGATTACACTGAAAACTCTTGTCTTGAGGCAAGAACGAGTGTTTTACTATTTACTGAAACTACCACCCTGAGAGGCCTAGCCTCATCTCCTAAAAAAGTTTTTAAGACTATGGCAATTCAAGGAAAGAAAAAAAAAAAAAAAGAAGAAAAAAACCCAATGCTGAAACTGATTCTTTGATGTAAGCTGTGGCCACCCAGGAGCTGCCTCAAGGGCAGCTCTGCTTCCTGCAGGGCAGCAGCAGGGTGGGCAGGAACTGACTTCATCAGACATCCCAAGATACATCACCCTCAGGCACACATCAGTATTCTCAAAGAACAACCAACATGTTTAAAACCATTCAGGGCAGGAAGATCTGACTGCTCAGACAGAGGAAAAGTCTTCAGAAGATTTAATCAGAAATTCACAGGACCATTAAAATCCTGAAAAAACTAATTTGTCAAAAGTAGCACAATTTAGGATATAACAGAATAACCCCAGAAAAGCAAGACAACACAAGAGTTCAAAACATTGTCATAGACTCTCTCTCAAATTTTTTTGAGAACAGTAAAGTGCTCTGGATCTCAAGAAAAGCACACTCATGCATCTATAACACTGTTGCACAACAGTTTTACAACAACATTCCACAACATTTCTTTTTTTTTTTTTTACCTAATACCATACTTTTCTACAACCTGCAAAAGAAATTCTAGGGCTGCATGACTAATATGTGCAATTTTCCAGAGGAGTTTCAACATGGTACTTCTGGGCAGAAATTGCTTAAAATGAAAACCAGCCATGCAGGAGAATTAATTTTAGAGTTACCCTAGTGCAAAACATCATATGGATATCAGCAAATGCTCATAACATTTAAAGAAGTATTTGGCCAATATAAAATAGAAGCTTTGAAAGGAGCTTCTTATGATACACAGCAATGCTTATCTGGCATTAAAAAAAAAACAGAAACACAATGGGTTAAGTTTGAAGTAAGCATGACTGTATTTTAACTTAATCAGCTGTGAAGTAGTATATGTCAACTCATAAAGGAAAAAATCATGGCCCTGTTATAAATAACTATGTAGTTATTATCTTTTGCTATTATTAGCTTTTGTAAATTATTTTGATATAGTACAGTTTGCAATCTCTTTTCAACTGATTTTGATATAGTATAATTTGTCAGCCTTTTATATTTAATACCCTAATCCCTGTGTAGATTGTATGTTTTAGTGTGATAAATACATATTATAGTTTAGGCTTCTGCAAAATATTAAAATAAAGGATATGTACTGTGTATAATAACATTAACTTTATTAACTTTTTCAGAGGCAATTGTATTTGTGAAGTAATAAGGAATGCCTTTATTTTTGTAGCCGACAATAGTGAAATAGCTAATGTTGATTGAAAGTACTTGTAAAGACAGCTAGAATGTCTGTATAAGATAACATTGAACAAACTAGGCAAATAACACCCAAAGAGCAAAAAGGAATCTACCACTGACCCTTTGGCTCTCAGTAACTGTCAAACCACAGACCCTGGTGAGGAAATAAAATACAAGACTCTCAGAATCACATCTGTATTGTGGCACATGCTCTAAGAAGATAAGGTCAGGGGTCGAAATACGATACAGAATTCTTGGAACATGTAAACTCAAAGGAATGTTTGAATATGTATAATCTTCATTTATAAGCATTTGACCAATGCAATAAGAAAGTACATAAGAAGAGTTTTTA